GCTAATAACTCTGCGGTAGTCTCGTGTCTGTCGATGCGTAAAATCTCAGGATACGGACAGGTTTTACTTGCTACTGCGCTAGTAAATGCTGAGTCTAAGTCTGGTGGAAACCAAATAGTACGAGCTCTTTTAGACCAGGGCTCTCAGGCTTGTTTCATAACAGAAGCCGCAATTCAACTTTTACAACTTAAAAAGAGTCCTATCAGGGCAACAATTACTGGCCTAGGAGAAGACAAATCTTTAATGGCTAAAATCTCGGATTGATAATAATTATAAAATCCAGGTAAAAGCGTATGTTCTGAAGAACATAACATCTTATCTTCCAGAACAAAAAATTGAATCCATTGACTGGATAGGCTTACAAGACTTATGCCTGGCAGATCCTAAGTTTAATGTGTCTAACAATATTGATATGCTTTTAGGAGCGAATGTGTTCAGCCCAATTCTGATGGATGGTGTGAAAAGGAGTCCCAACGGATCTTTAATAGCCCAAAACACCACTCTAGGTTGGATCGTGTCTGGTATAGTCAATGACAGCAGTGAGAATTATAAAAACAATTCTAAAATAACGGTAATGCATGCACAAATAAACGAATATAATATTTTGAAACAGTTTTGGGAATTAGAAGAACAACCAAGAAGTACAAAAACTGTGTGGTCAGAAGAAGAGCAAATATGTGAAGAAATGTTTACAAGTACAACAAAAAGAACGGCTGAAGGCCTCTATATAGTGAAACTGCCATTTCGGAACAACCAACCGCGTTGTTTGGGTGGTGGCTCACGACAAAGAGCTGTAACAAAATTTAAGACATTAGAGAAAAGGCTATCAAAGGATTTAGAACTAAAGAAAAACTACACGGAGGTCATAAATGAATATTTACAATTAGGTCATATGAGACGTTTAAGAAAATATGATAATGAAATTAATGAAGCTGTTTACTTACCCCACCATGCAGTAACGACTGCATGGTGGGGTAAGTAAACAGCAGAAAGGACAAAACAACTACGAAAGTTAGAGTTGTCTTTAATGCATCAAGTAAAAATAATTATGGTGTTTCGCTTAACGAAACTTTGATGATAGGACCCAGATTTGCGTCACTTAGTAAGTGCTGGTAGCTGACATTATTAAAATGTATCGGCAGGTCAGAGTAGCTGAAGACAACACAATATTCCAACGTATAGTGTGGCGTGAGAACCCTGAAAGTGAAATAGAAAATTTTGAGCTCTTGACTGCGACTTTTGGAATTGCATCCGCTCCTTATTTAGCCGTTAGAGTATTGAACCAGATCAGCTTGGATGAGGGCAAGAATTTCCCATTGGCAGCACCAAGGGTATTACAGGCATTCTACATGGATGACCTAATGACAGGATGTTGTGACGTCAAGGAAGGAGTGGAAGTTTACAAACAAATGACGGAGCTATTGGCTAGAGGTTGATTTAAGCTACAAAAATGGAACAGCAACAATGAGGAACTATTATCACAAATAAGCATAAATGAGAAGCTAGCAGACATGAATAAAGAGGACTCACCGGATAGGGACATGTTAAGGGAGTACAAACAGAGAAGGGAAATGCAGGAAGGCAATAAACAGGACATACACACTATACTAAAACTAAAGGAAACTGAAAGCTTGAAGAACATTAAAGAAATCGAGGTCAAAACAGAGAACACTACAAAGATTTTAGGTATTACCTGGGACCGACATGAAGATCGTTTTCGTTATTCGGTGAATCTTCCGATGACGACGACTGGACCTGAAACAAAAAGAACAATATTATCAATTATAGCACGACTATACGATCCTTTGGGATGGATCGCGCCAAGCATTATTTTAGCAAAGATGTTTATTCGAAGGTTATGGCTAGCAGGGACAAGCTGGGATGAACCAATTCCAGCTAATTTATTACAAGATTGGAATACTTACCGTAATGAGTTACCACAACTTACTTCCGTAAGAATCCCACGATGGTTAGGCACTACAACGACGGACACCAACACTGAATTGCATAGCTTCTGCGATGCAGCAATCATTTATGTAAGAGTCGTTGACTGCGATGGCAATACGAAAGTTATTTTATTGACAGCAAAAACTAGAGTTGCCCCAACAAAGCAGATCAGTATACCACGTCTAGAATTATGTGGTGCTGTACTATTAGCACAACTTTTGACGGAGGTCGCAGAAGTTTTAAATATTAATAAGAGCAATATTAAAGCTTGGACAGATTCAACTGTCGTGCTCGCTTGGCTTAACAGCCACCCCAGTAGGTGGAAGACGTTTGTGGCCAACCGAGTGTCAGAGATTTTAACAAACTTGAACTCTTCGCAATGGTACCATGTTTCAACCAAAGAAAATCCTGCTGACTGTGCGTCACGAGGTGTCCAGCCAGGAGCACTTGCAGGTAACGCGCTTTGGTTTTTCGGTCCAAATTTTCTTCGAGAGAAAACAGGAAACATTCCTTACAAAAGACCAATGAATTTAAAGATCAATTTAGAAGAAGCCATCAAATCACATATTAATGTCATTTCCGATGATGCAATATTTCAGAGGTTTTCTTCCTTACAAAGGCTGCTTAGAGTAATAGCTTATTGCCGACGATTTAATACGAAGAATAAGTGCACTGAGCGGAAATCTTATCTCACTAAAAGTGAAATAGACCATGCACTAATGTGTTGCATTAAGAAAGTACAGAAGGAAGAATTTGGTGAAGAATATTTACAAATTAAGAAGAAAGGTTTATTATCTAAATCTAGTAAGCTCAAATCATTGTGTCCGTATCTCGATAACAATGACATAATGAGAGTTAGCGGAAGACTACAAAACACTCAACTGCCAGAGCAAACAAAGCATCCGATAATACTACCACATTCTGCATATTTTACGAAATTAGTTATATCAGAGGCACACCAGAATACATTACATGGAGGAGTCCAATTAATGGTAAATTACCTGAGAACCATGTATTGGATTAGTGGTGGAACTCTCGGGAACCAGAACCGAACATTGGTGATGTAGTCTTGATAAAAGAAGACAACTTACCGCCAAGTAGTTGGTTAAGAGCAGAATAGTTGAAAAGCATCCCGGGATTGATAATGTTACCCGTGTGGTCACAATACGTACTAAGTCATCTTTTATCAAGCGACCAACTTCAAAACTATGTGTTTTACCAGTAAGCCAATAGAATTAATCTTTGTACTTTGTGTTTTAAATATTGTTAGTTATAGTGATAGAATAACATTAAAAACTTTTATTTCTTAACATAAGTTATAAAGTATGAGTTAAATAGTTTTTTTTTGGAATAATTTTACTTTAAAAATATTTAAGTTCAATTAAGTCATTATCTAAGTTAAGGTTCAAATATGTTATTTTTAAGTTTACGTTCAGTATGTCAAGAATAATTTTATCATTCTGCCACGGTGGGAGTTATTGTATTTTTAAGGCCATTTTTGTCATTAAATGTCCTTGCTGGGCGGAATGTTTAAGACCATTTAATTAGTAGCAATAAAGAAATGTAGATGGCGCTGTACGATTTAAACACGAGCTATCATTTATCTCACCAATAAAGTGTATAGTCAAATAAATCGCATATTAAAATCAAGAATTCAGATCAAGTACATAGTGTTTTATTATAACCTCTATAGTACCCAAATTAGATCAACATAGTTCAATAGTGCAGTAGTTCAGCAAGATCAATCAATTAAACAATATTTATATTGACTATTGCTTTCGATTTCGGTTTTCTGCGATTTGTTTTGTGATTTGGTTTAAGTTGATTCGATTTTTTTTTGGCTATCGTTTTCGGATTCGTGTAGTGTCTTGAATTGGTTTTGTTGTTCTGATTTTAAAAAAAATTTAGAAGGAATATTTATAAAAAATAAGCAACTTTGGAATGATAAGCCCTCAGCGAACAACCGAAAATGAACTAAGTGATGAAATTATACGTGGAACAAACTACAATATACCAGCTTTGCAGCAACAAGTAGCCGAATTTGTACCCCGCTTGCTTCCCGAACAAAAACGAGTTTTTGACAAAGTATTAGGACAAATTGAATCTGGAAATTGTGCACTTTTCGTTTTAGATGCCCCTGGAGGAACTGGGAAGACATTTTTGTTAAATTTATTATTAGCGCAAGTACGGAAAGATAAAAACATTGCTGTGGCCGTAGCTTCCTCCGGTATAGCCGTCACGCTGCTAAACGGGGACCGCACTGCACATTCTGTTTTAAAACTCCCTCTAAATCTAGCCCAGGAAGAATTGCCGATCTGCAACTTTAGCAAAAATAGTGCACGAGGTATAATGCTACGATAATGCAAACTTTTAGTATGGGACTAAAGTACAATGTCGCATAAAAAATCTGTAGAAGCACTAAATCTAACGCTCCAGGATTTGCGCAGCAATACCGATGTAATGGGAGGAATGGTGATTTTACTGGCTGGTGAGTTTCGCCAAACTTTACCTGTCATTCAAAAGGGCACACCTGCAGATGAAATTAAAGCATGCTTCAAGTCGTCTATTTTATGGAACAAGATGACAAAATTCAGCTTAACTACGAAGAGCCAGCGCGTGTACATCGCCGAGTTAACATCGTATTGTATTAACTCCGTGTTGAAAAAATATTTTTGCAGTTTATGTTTATATTTATACTGTGTAAAAAGCAAATATCAATAGTTAGAAGTTATTTACTTAAAATTAAAGTAAAAAAGCAAAGAAAGTGTAGTGTGAACAAAGATTGAATTGCTTCGTAATTTTAATACTCAGTGCGGTGGACTTTGATACTGCATATTGTTCTGGTTCATCTACAATTATTGAATCGCGTATGTTTTTCCTAATACCCGCTTGTTGTTTGAACAAATTATAAAGTGCTTAGTATAAATAATTACTATCATTGTGTATATTAGTACAGTTTTTGTTTGTCTATTGAACGAAATGAATTATTGGGATGCATTTTATGTAAAGGAACCTACCATTATATTTGCCTTAATATTACATATGCGAAATTTATGGGTAACTATCAAAAATTTAAAAGATCATGGAAATGTCCTACTTGCACCAACATTACGGAACGGCGATCCAGAAACGACGACACACCGGTAAAAGTTAACTGTGGGGATTCGTCACCATTTGATGTCATTAACATGTCTAGTGATAACATGCAAGTAAATGAACTGCCGCCTTCGGATTTTGAGCACCGTGGAGGTAAAAAACAAAATATTTCTACTTTTTCTTTAGAAGAATTAGGTAAATTGCTTGACGATAAATTGGACACTAAGTTACAAAACACTCGTCACTCATTAGATTCAGATATTAAGCAAGAATTTAATGAAGTTTTAATGAAGTTGGAAAGTGAGTTTTTTAAAATAACCGAATCCCTAACAGGAGCAATATGCGACTTAAAAAGAGATATAAGTACACTTCGCGAAAAAGTTCAAACACTTGAGCAAGAAAACATATATGTACGTAAACAAGTAGAAAGTGAACAAAATAAGCCTTCAAACATTTCACATATGGAGACCATCATAAAAGAATTAAAACAGGAAATAAATGACAAGGACCAGAAAGCGTTGCTCAATGACATTGAAATATTTGGAATACCTGAAGTTTCAAGTGAAACCCCAGTGCATATAATGTCGACAGTTGCAAATAAGCTGGGAGGTACCTTAAATGATCATGACATAGTATTTGCGGAGCGCGTCGCTCGCCATTCGAGTAATCTACTTCAAGAGGTGCAAACAGGGAATCAAAACCGTATAGAGGCACGTCCTAGGGGACGTTGTGCGTTTAGCACGCCGCATCACTCGTGACATCCTACTAAAAAATGCACGTGTGCGCCGTACGCTCACCACTGTAGATCTAGGGTTACCTTATAAAGAAACAACCAAGTTTTATGTTAATGAGAGACTAACGAAACCAAATCGTGTGCTATTTCTAAAGCACGTGAAATGGCCCGAAAATTAAAATGGAAATTCGTGTGGACAAAAGATGGCCGAGTTTATGTCAAGAGAGAAGATTCTTTTAACGCTTCGGTACGCGTCATCTACTCGGAAGACGACTTTACGCGTATTTTTGGTGAGCCATATTCCAAAACAGTTTAATTATTATAAATTGATTTTGGTGGCCTCTGGGCTTCCAACGTTTTTGCTATTATTCGGTTTGTTGTATATTAGTTTTAATGTTAATTACACTTTCAATGTCAACTTAGTTTTAGTACAGTTTGATTTCAATGTCGACTTAGTTCTAGTACAGTTTGATTACATATATTATTACATTCTATTATTAATTAATATTCCGTTAACAGTGAAAATATTAAAAAAAAATATTTTTCTGTTAATATTAGGGATCTAATAATTGTGCCCTAATTTTTAAATTTTAATTCAATCTTCTGTCTATATTCTGCTAAACTGTGGAAACAATTTTTAATAATGTTTATATGTGTTGTTTTTATTTTGATGTCGGTCAGTACAAGTTATAACTTATTGTTGTTGTTACTATTCGGTTTTTTGTGTGTTAGTTTTAATATTAGTTATTTTTACAGTGTAAATATAGTTTAGTACAGTTTGATTACAAATATTATTATATTTTATTGTTTAATATTCTAATAACAGTAAAAATATTCAAAAACTATTTTTCTTTTAATATAAGGGATCTCGTTGTGCCCTACTTTTTTATTTAAATTCAATCTTTTGTCTACATTCTCCTAAACTGTTAAAATCCTTTTTTAATATTGTTTATACGTGTTGTTTTTATTTGGATGTTGGTCAGTACAGGTTATAACTTATTGTTGTTATTATTCGGTCTGATGTATATTAGTTTTAATATTCGTTATACTGGTAATGTCAACTTAGTTCTAGAACAGTTTGATTACAAATATTATTACATTTTAGTACTTAACATTCTGATAACAGTAAAAATGTTAAAAAAATATTTTGCTGTTAATATTATGGAACTCATTGTGCCCTACTTTTTTATTTTAATTCAATCTTTTGTCTACATTCTGCTAAACTGTTGAAATCCTTTTTAATATTGTTCATACGCGTTGTTTTTATTTCGATGTTGGTTAGTACAAGTTATAACTTATTGTGTTCTTATTTTTCCCTATATTTTTTATTTAATTTGTTTCAAAAATTAAGACATTACTTTATATTATATAACAATGGCTAGATATAAAAGTTTTGAAGTTGGTCTCTATAATAATGCTGGGTCAATAAGAAGCAAAATAGACGAGTTTCAGGTTGCCTTACTACGTGACTCTGCTGATATTATGGCAATTAACGAAACATGGCTGCAGACAGGTGACGATGTAAGTGCCCCATTAGTTCCTCGATATAGCTTCCGTCATATTCCTGGATCGTGTAACATGTCAAGAACTAGGGGCGAAGGTGTAGGTTTCTACATTAGACTAGGGGTAAGTGCTCGTTCCTGTCCACATATTAACAAATTTACTGAAGTTGAGCAACAATGGATATCGGTAACCATAAACAAGACTAGAATATTAATTGGTACAGCATATCGACCACAATGGGTCAATGTGGATAATTTTCTTGGTTCTCTCACCGACACTTTGACTTCACAAACCAACTTTGATTATTTTATATTATTAGGCGATTTTAACATTAACATTTTGGATACTAATGACAGTAAAACTCTTCGTCCTAAACAATTTTTGACCTATACTAATTCAAGTAACTGTATTTCAGAACCTACACACTTCACACGAGATAGTGCAACGTTAATTGAATTAGTTATCACGGATGCACGTGTTACAAATACATTTGTTAAACACACACCAAAATTAGGAGGGCACGCTTTTGTTTTGGTTGACTTCCATTTTAAAAAACCTAAGATAGCACCAATACAACAAATTATAAGACCTATTAAAAGTATCAATATGCTTGCTTTTCTATCAGATCTCGAAGCTATAAATTGGGATACTATCATAGGGTTTAGCTGTGTCAATCAAATGGTATCTGAGTTTTCCAAAAAAAAATTTGGAATTATTTGATAAGCATGCTCCTGAGAAATAAGTAACGTTTAAAAAAAGACAACTGCCATGGTTCACTAGTAATGTTCGGTACATGATGCAACTGCGTGACAGCGCTCATAATAAGTATCGAAAATCAAAAGCTGAAAGTGATAAAACTCATTACAAATCTCTTAAAAGACTAGTTAATAGTTGTCTTAATACTGAGAAGAAAGCATATTTTGACTATCATATTAATCAGAACCTACATAAAGCAAACATTCTGTGGAAAAACTTGAAATCGGTTGCATTACCTTCATTTAAAAATTCTAACAATTTACCAGACCATTTTAATGATCCTGATAAAATTAACCACCACTTTCTTAATATTCCGGACATAAGTAATACTGGTTCGTTTTATTCTAAATTCTTTAAAAGTTCTAAATATACCTCAAATACATTAAAGTTAACGCCAGTCCATGAAAGCGTAGTCGCAAAAGTTATTATGGCTATCAAGTCGAACGCACAAGGGGTTGATCGAATTGCTATGGAAATGATACTTTTGACACTAACACAAACATTAAAGGTTATAACAGCATTAATTAGTAGGTCTATCACAGAATCAATTTTTCCTTCTCAGTGGAAAACCGCACTAATTCGTCCCGTATCAAAAAAAAGAAAACGCAGTTGATTTAAGCGACCTAAGGCCTATTAGCATTTTGCCATATTTATCAAAAATATTGGAAAAAGTTCTACACTTTCAAATAGTATACTTTTGTGAACTAAATAAAATACTACCTAAGTTACAATCAGGGTTTAGGAAGAGTCATGGGACAGCTACAGCCCTTATAAATGTCGTAGATGACGTGCTGTCTTTTTCGGATTCTGGCAAAGACACGATCCTTACTCTTTTAGATTTTTCAGAAGCATTCGATTCGATAAATACGGATTTGTTAATAGATAAACTATCATATTAAGGTTTTGATAACGGGGCATTGGTGTGGTTTAAGAGTTATCTCAATAATCGTCTACAACAAGTTATAATTAACAGGAATGATGGCGAAAGCTATGTTTCCCAACTTCTTCCTGTCAATAAAGGTGTCCCTCAAGGATCTATTTTGGGCCCTTTGCTTTTTATCATTTATAGTTCCGATATAACAGCATGTCTTGAAAATTGCAAACACCATATTTATGCTGATGACCTACAGGTGTATATTAGTGTAGATAGTAAAAATGTAAATATAGCGGTTGATAAGTAAAATGAGGATCTTCAACGCATTAGTTCTTGGTCACAAAATAACTCCATGCTCCTTAATCCTACAAAATCTAAGTTTATTATTATAGGTACTAAAAAGCAGGTAAAGGACATAACTTCTACTGATCCTAACGTACGTATTGATGGTGAAAACATTAAACGAGTTTTTGAAGTACAAAATCTTGGGGTTCTTATGGATAGTTATTTAAAGTTTGAAAATCATGTAATTAATGTCGTAAAAAGTTGTTTTTTCCGATTGAAAGTTTTATATTCAATCAGGCAGTTTATCACTGTAGACTTACGCGTTAAACTATGTGAAACCTTAGTTCTTTCTAAACTTAATTATTATATAACTTTGTATGGACCTTGTCTATTTAAAAAATCAAAAAAATTGATTCAAAAGGTACAAAATGCTTGCGCTCGTTACAGTTTTTACATCCCAAGACGAACACATGTTACACCTTACCTTAATGCCTCTAATATGCTTAAAATACAGGAACGTCTCAAATTATTTTATGCCTCCCTGCTATTTGGAGCGATAAAATCAAAGAAACCCGAATACCTATATAAAAGTTTCAGTGAAGACAAAATCAACATATGTACGGTATCCGAAAGTGTGCATAAGTACTTTGGGTACCTCAACATAGGACATCAGCATTTCGTGGTTCATCAACATTTAGTCTGAATAAATAAAACACTACTGTAGCTCTTATTTTTTAATAATATTATTTTTTTTTCATGTTTTTGTTTATATTTCGCTTATATTTTGTATATATTATGTTTATCTCTTGTACATGTATATTAATTATCAATTTATTAATAGAAATATTATGAAAACTTGTACTGGTTAATTATGTAGTTCTTGTACTGGCTGAATGAATGAATAAATAAATAATTTAACACTAAAAGCTATTTGTAATATAATCAGTGATGTACGCGTACTGTTATACTTTAGCTCACTAAGTAGGTATATGGGTGCTAACAGAATAACAGCGTTGTAGAATCTCTGCAACACATGTTGAGTCAGAACCCTTTCATTGTCCTTCTAAAATATCATTTTTGCATTAGTTTAACTTTTAAATATTTTTTATTATTATTATTGGGGGGTATCTATATAGTTTTCTCATCTGGTTGGGATCTATAAATATATAATTATAAATGAAAATGAAAAGATAAATATATACATAAATATCAATAAAATAAAATAAATACAAAAATACATAAATAAATAAAAGCCCAACCAGATGGAAGCCCTCGGCAGGGGAGACCAAACGGCCGAGGGTTAGGGGGAAAGGGAAGGAAACCGGCGGACGATGCGGGCAGTATCAAGGAGCACCACCTTCTGCATTTGAGCCCGGAGCCGTCCGTCACGGAGTCCCAGTCGCCTCAGATGACCAGAGAGGCTAACTGGGATTAGCCCATTCGCAGAGACGACTACAGGAATAATTGCGGTAGGCAGACCACCCCACATGTCGGTCACCGCGTGAGCCAGGTCCAGATATTTTGATTGCTTATCTGTTTCGGCTTTCACGAGGTTCTAGTCATACGGGATGGTAATATCGACCAAAAATATCCTTGACTGTGCCCGGTCCATCAGCACAATATCAGGCTTATTCGCAAGAATAGTCCCGTCTGTGATGATGGCCCGGCCCCAGTAGAGCCTGGCGCGGTCATTTTTGAGCACGGCTTCCGGCAAGTACTTGTAATACGGCAATTTCCGGTTCACGATACCGTATTTCAGAGCGAGCTCCTGGTGTAGAATTCTGGCTACTAGGTTGTGCCTGTGCAAGTACTCAGAGTTAGAAAGCGCCGAACAACCGGAGATGACATGCCTAAGCGACTCACTGGGATGGCGACAATAACCATTGAGTAAAAAACCCGTGGAGCTCCTTCTCCTTCCATACGGTCTCCCGGTCGGAAATGCTAAGCACTGCTGGGTCCTGCCATTACTCGAGGGCTAAGGATAGAGGGGTAAGCCCTTTATCACTAGAAATGACGTAATTATAGAATGGATCATCCGATCTCGCCAGGAAGTAATCACGGAGGCTGCACACTTCGCAATTACGCGTGGTAATCGCGCGACACCCACATGCTTCCGCGACAAGTACAGCCTCATTACCGACGATCTCGGATGATGCATCCTATGGGACGTCATGGTAGTGCGGACTTTTCTATCCAGGGCGTTAAGTTCGGTCTGAGTCCACCTGAGTATGCCAAAGGTATACATGAGGCATGACCCAACCGTTATATGCGTCTTATTCATACCGGACAAAAGGCTGTTAATCACTTTGGTCAAGTGTGCATAAAACACGTCGCAAACTAACTGTTTCATACCAGCCTCATCGATACCGATGTTCTGTGACATACCCAGGTATCGGTATGTTTCAGCTTCGGAAAGGGTCTTTAAGTTGACGGGCATAGATAAATCTATGCCCTCAGAGTTAGCAACCCTTCCCCTTTCAACATGAAGGACCGCACACATAATCGTCCCCAGTCCCATTCCAATAGAACTGCTAAATTCACAAGTTTTGTACAGCAGCTCCACAAGACGGGAGCGACTGGAGGCGAATAACTTGAGGTCATCCATATGGAAAAGGTAGGTCACTTTTGTTCCTCCCTTCCGTAGCTGAAATCCTCTCCCGGAGCCCTCCAGTAAGGTACTGAGAGGATTCAGAGAGAGACAGAACCAGATTGGACTCAGTCAATCGCCCTGTAAGATACCCCTTCTTATCCTTATGTGGTTCTCCGCAGTCATCATCCGCTCGCCCAGATAACAGAGGATCGTACTCCACTGCCCCATACACTGCTCGAGGAAGTCTCTAACTGTACAGTCAATCTTGCACAGCTCGAAGACCCTCTTTAACCATGTATGGGGCACCGAGTCGAATACCTTTCTGTAGTCTATCCAGGCGGCGGAGAAGTTCCGGCGGTTGCGTTTCACCACTTTGCCAATGACCGCGTCAATGAGGAGTGGTTCCTTGGTTCCACGACCACCGCTCCGACATCCATTTTGAGCGCGTGAAATCACCTGATTTAGCTCCAGGTGACGAGTGACTCTCGCGTTCAAAATGGATGTCAGTGTCTTATATATAGTGCTTAGACACGTGATGGGGCGGTATTTGCTCGGGTCTGTGGTATCCTGATCTTTGGGAACCAAGTGAGTGATCCCAGTAGTGAAGAGGCTCGGGAGTGACTTCTGATCGAGAGCCTCTTGATACTGTCGGGCGAGCACAGCGTGACACACTACGAACCCCTTCAGCCAGTAATGATGCAGCCCGTCGAGCCCCGGAATTTTCCAGTTCGGGGCCCTACGGACCGCCCCAGCCACGTCTTCAGGCGTTATGGTGACGGGGTCCATAGGCGTAACACTTGCACTCTGGCTCGCCACAACTTCCATCCAAGGACCGTCGCTGTGGTTTACGGGCTTTGACCACAGGCCACGCCAAAATGCGACAGTGTCAGCCTGATCCGGCCCTGGGCCCGCTCCACATAACACTGATCGCTCCAATGATTTATAGAGCCTCTTCTGATCACTCTGGAAGAGACGATTCTGGTTGAACCGCGTCGACCTCTCGGTATATCGTCGAATCCGCTTTCCCCATGCAGCGATTCTCTGCTTCAGATCATCTATGCGCTCCGTCAGTTTTTGCATGATATCCGGCTGGGACAAACTAATATTTGTCCCATAAAACGCCATTCTAACGGTGCGCACAACTCTCGGTCTATTATTACCCGACCTGAAGCTTGTCAGTCTGCCAATAAGGGCCCTTGCCTTTGCGATACGGTC